ATCACATTGTATAAAATTGTCTAAAATAAAATTGACGTTATTTGTAAATATTATATACTTATTAAATGAAGATTTTCATGTTATCACTAAATCTAAAAACAAAATTTTAATATGTTGACTAGTTTTCGAAATAATCGACTTTCAATATAAATTATAATATCAAAGTACAATAGTGTAATTTATATTGAAAGTCGATTATTTCGAAAACTAGTCGGCATAATAAAATTTTGTTTTTAGAAATAATAATATAATTGAAAATTTAATCTTCTAAATATATAATAGTCGTAAATAACGTCAATTTTATTTTAGACAATTTTATACAATGTGATTTATGACAAATTTAACAAGGTATAAAAATAAAAGTACCAATACGATTTTGATGATTCTTTTTTATATTAAACTATTATTTCTTGACTACAAATTTACATTGTCATAAAAAACTAATCTATTGTAGTTTGACCTGTAGCATAGTGTCTTGCGTTGGTCTCGATATTTTGTATATCTGGTCATCCTAGTTTTGTGATTTCGTGTATATTAAGTGTGGTCGATATGATATTCTTAAATGTATTTTACAGAATTAAATTATCTCTTACCGTTCAAAAGTTATTCAAAAAATACGCCGCTCAAGATCGATTGACCTCCTTCTTATATATATATAGTATGTAAAAATATTGAAATTTTCTTAAATTAAATATAAGTTATAATATATGATTAATTATATAATGTAATTATACTTTTAATTAATAATTTTATATATATTTTTTGTTGAATAAGTTAAAAATTTATGAAAAATGTTTATATATTATACTGTATTATTATTTACTATTATTAATATAATTTTTTATATATATATATAGCTGAATGTAAATCATATATTGTATATATAATGTAATTTATTTTTTGTTTAGACAGTAAAAACATTTACATTATACTTGATTTAAATAATTAATATCATATTTATCTAAACTTGTTATTTAAATTAATTTACTTATCAAATATTCATATAAATTATAATATATAATAAACACTATTTATATATATATATATATATATTACTGTATATATTATATAATTAAGTTTCGTATATAAAATTATATACAAAACAAAAACAAAAATTACTGTATAATGATGTACTAAAAAAATTTTTTAATAAAAAAAATAATAATAAAAACTTATTATTAATATTATGCAACATTGTTAGCCCTCAAAAAATAAAATAAATAAAAATTGTTTTTATCTAGCTTATTTATATATATATATATATAGTAAAACTACATTGTTAAGTTTTTTATTTGTTGGATAAAATATCCATAATAATTACGTGACTTTAGACATATATATATATATATATAACGGTATATAACAACTAGACTACAATTTGTACATCAAAAATACATCATCAATAATAATAATAATAATAATATAAAAAACATTACATGAAAGTAACTAAAAAAAATAAATAATATTTTTTTTATATATATATATTTATTTATGTATACCATTGTCGACAGTGATGTCAGAAAAATGATGGCAATGATTGTCAAACATAGACAGTGCCTAATAGGACGTCTCTCTTCCAATAGTATGGATAATCGTTGAAAAACTTGCGGGCATTTCATATACTGGGAGGACATGGATATGATAAATGTCACGCCAAGTAATACACTGCCAGTTGGCAATGCTATAGCCATTATGTTGGATCTGTTATATTATACAATAGTATATATATATAATTTATAATTAAAATTAGTATTAATATATATATATATATATATATACCATATATTATATATATAACATACCTATATATATATAATGTATTATTTAGCTGTATATTTATATATATATATATATTACGTAAAAAATATTTTTATATATTTTATTTATTTTTTAATTTAATTAATTTTTTTTAAAACTTGTAAATCTGTTATATTACACAATAGTATATATATATATATATATATATATATAATTTATAATTAAAATTAGTATTAATATATATATATATTTAAAACAAAAAACAATTTGTTTTGAAATTATTGGTAAAATTTTTTTAAAAAAAATATACAGTATATAATACAGCTCTATAATAGTAATATTATTAATTAACTAATTATTAATTTTATTAAATAATCAAATCTATTGACTGATTGATTATTATTATTATTACTAGTATTTTATATATATCGTTATTTCATAAATGAATATATATATATATATATATATAGATTTTAAAATTTTTTTAACAATAAATTCAAACAAATTGTATTTGTTTTATATATATATATATACTATTGTATAATAAAACAGATTTACAAGTTTAAAAAAAATTAATTAAATCAAAATTTAAAAATATATATATATATATATATATATATATAAATATATAGCTAAATAATACATTATATATATAGGTATGTTTATAATATTATTTACATACCTGGGCAATATAACCAATTGTATGATAACAATGAACAACCAAATCATAACAACCGATAGTATATTGGATTTGAATACAAAATCTTTAATATTGTGAAACTGTTTGTTGAAAAACAAACAAAAATAAAATTATTTTTTCAAATAAATAAAAACTAAAAAACTATACTTTAATTTCAAGCTCTTTGGATGTAAACGTTAACGAAAACCAGCGGACATTTTCTTTGATCATCTTTTTGTTGGATTCAATTTCAATCGATTGGTCAATCATGTCGTCAATTTGCTGGCTAACTGTCATCATTGTCTGGTGATGGTGGGGCAGCACCTGTAGGTGTCCACCACCACCACCAGCACCGGGCGGTTGTTCCGATTGGCCACCAGTACCACCGGTTCCGGCCGAATCCTCTTTTTCCATATAGCTTGAAACCGGATCGGGCGTAACGCCCCGGTAGTTATTATTGCTGGTGTTGTTGTGTTTGTTGTCGGCCACTACCGATGGTGTGGCCGCAGCAGCAGCAGCAGCAGCGGTAGCGGCGGCCGCTGCTGCTGCTGCGGCGGCACTGCTGGTCGTAGATTTGTTATGACCACCATTTTTGTTGGCCGCCGCCGCGGCCGCTAATTTGTCCGCTAGTTTGGCGGTAACGTTGAGCGGGTCCTCGTCTAATGAGTAGCGCAAGTCATTCAACTGTTTAATTGAAATTATAATTATTTTTATAATTTAGTTGACATTTAAAAATATATATATATATATTAGTAATTTATACAGTCATATACTGTATTAGTTTTATTAGTAATAATAATAATAACTAAATCAAGTTTTTATTTTTTTATTGAATAAAAAATTTATTTGACATTTAAATATATATATATATATATATATATATATATATATATATATATATAATAGTTTATACAGTCATATACTGTATTAGTTATTAGTAGTAATAATAATAACTAAATTTTAGTTTTATTTTTTTGAATAAAAAAATTTAGTTGACATTTAAAAATATTTATATAATGAATATATATTTATATATACAGTATATACTAATAGTTTAAAATCATATATTTGTTATTAGTTATTACTAGTAATAATAACTAATATATTAGTTTTATAATATATCAATGGGGATATTTTAATATATGATTCAATAATTATTTTTGTTGTTGTAAAAATACTAAAATATTAAAATAAAAAATTTTGTAAATAATTAAATATATATACACTACATAAATAGCATTTAAACACAAATAAACAATTAATTAATCCAATATATTTACTAAACTTTATATTTATTTTTATATTTAAAATTTACATTATCTATGATTTTATACTGTATTCATATTAATTTAAATGTGTTTTTATTAGTAGCTAATTATTATTATTATTATTATTTTGTTTTAATTATACATATTAATTAATTATATAATATTTATATATTTGTTTTATTGTTGTAATAATTGTTTATAAAACTAATTACCTATTAATATATTGCATTTAGATATTATAGTGAAATAAATAAAATATAAGTAATCTAATAAAAAAAATTTTTTATAATAGTTTATAACATATAATTAATTAGATAATAAATGTTTAACTAAATATTTATCTATGTTATTATGTATTATTATTATTACAACAACAAAATAAGATACTATATATTTTTTTGGGCTATTAATTTTACACTAATTTATTTATATTATAGATTAAATCGATATATATATAGTAGTTATATATATATTGATATTACATAATAAATACCTGTAATACCAATAAGTAATACTAGTAATAGTGTTAATATAATACTATACTATTAGTTATTATATATAAATATAGATAATTTACTAAATATTATATATATATATATATATATTAAATGTATAAATAAATATAATTCATATATGTTATGAATATATTGTTAAAAATGTTATAAATTTTTTAAATGATACTTAAAAAAAATAAAATAAAATTTACATCAATTATATAATTTATGTTTTGCGTACTTAAGTATATAATAATAATAATAATAATAATAATAATAACAAAAAACATTACATTAATGCCTACTATTTATTGGTAAGCAATTATAAGCAATTGAATAGAAATAATATATATATATATAAATAAAAATAAAATAAAATAATACATAACATTATAGCCCAAACATAATAGAAATAATAATAATAATAATAATAATACTGTTCAGTAAATTAGATAATAGGAAAAACTAAATGATGTTTTAGTTTAGTTAATAATAATAATAATAATAATAGTGTGTATGTGTTGTGTTGTCTCTGAGATTAACAAACATTGAATAATAATAATAATAATAATAATAATAATAAGAAAATTCACAATAAAATAATAGAAAATTTCCAGAATTGCACGCTTTGTTTAATCAGGGATTACCAACGGGGGTAACAATTTGTTTGATACACACACATATACATACACATAGACACACGCATACAAACATATATATATATATATATATATACACACACACATATATATATATATATATATATATATATATATATATATATATATATATATATATATATATATATATATATATATATATATATATATATATATATATATACATAGACACACACACACACATAGACACACGCATACAAACACTCACACACACACACACACACACACACACACACACACACACACACACATAGACACACATAGACACACATAGACACACACAGACACATATACATACATATACACATATACATACATACATACACACATACACTAAAAACATAATCTAATTTCGTATCGTAAAAATATTGATATCATTAACTTTAAACTTTAATAACTTTTTTATTTTTTAACTTAAATAAACAAATTTGATATCAAATAATAGAGTAATAAATCACAATTAAATTGATATACTAGATGGTCAAAACAATGGTTTAAATAACAAAATATATCAAGGTAAAGTTATAGGTGTTAATAATTTAGGTACAAAAATTATTTTCGTGTTTTTAAAACGCGCGTGATTTCAGACACATTGTTGGGACCAATTGATTCCAATGCATTGTTATTAATTTGAATACACGTAAATAAACAGTAAATGCAGTGATTATCATAAAAATGGTTAAAATACAAGAATTTTCAGATGCAATTCGCCAACAAATGTATGATATGAGAGTCAGCACCGGAAAGTCATACGCAAAAATAGCGGAACTGTTTACAACAACTGATAATACTGTCCGATCAATTGTAAAGAAAGTCGAAAAGTACGGGACAGTTAGAAATCTCGCAAGAAGTGGTCGAAAAAGATGTACCAGTGCTAAACAGGACAGGATATTGAGTCGAATTGTGGCAAAAAATAAGAAGTTGACCACCGATGAGATTAAGGAAGAGTTGGCCGCCAGAAACATTTTGTGTCACAGAAACACTATTAGACACCGGATTCAAGAAATGGGTTATTACAGTGGTATTGCGCGAAGACGTCCAATGATAAGCCTAACAAATCAGAGAAAACGATTAGACTTTGCACGAAAGTACATCCGGATGCCTATGTCATACTGGAGGAAGGTCTTGTGGTCAGATGAGTCAAAATTTGAGATTATTAGTACTAAACGTCGCCAACGAGTGTTTAAAAAGAGAGGCGAAAGCATTAATCCTGATAATATATGTCCAACTGTGAAGCACTCGAAATCAGTTATGGTATGGGGGTGTATGACAGGCCAGGAAGTTGGCCATTTGGTCGAAATTCCATCAACTATGGACCGCTACATTTACGTTAACGATATTTTGACCCCACATTTGCTTCAGAGTGCCAGAGATCTACAAATAAGCGATGATTTTTTATTTCAAGCGGACAACGACCCAAAGCACACATCAAAATTGGCAAAGAAATGGTTGTCTGACAATCAAATTGAGACACTTGAGTGGCCGCCACAGAGCCCTGACCTCAATATTATTGAACATCTATGGGATGAATTGGACAGACGTGTGCCAAAGAGCGAAAGAAAAAGTTTTTCTGCGTTTAAAGAGTCGTTATTTAATGTCTGGAAAAATATACCTGAAGAAGTCACAGAAAAGCTGATCCAAAGTGTTCCAAGAAGATTGCAGGCTGTGATTGATGCCAACGGAGGCAATACTCGATATTAATATTGTTTTTACTAAATTAATAGCTTTATTTTGTTAATAATATTTAAAGTTTTGATTTCACGAAAATACTTTTTGTACATAACTTTTTTTACCATTTCTTACTTCTTATGCTTTTTTATAGATAATATGATAATTAATGCAATTTTATTTATTGACTTATAAACTTTGAAAAGTGTTCTTTCATTTGATATCAAATTTGTTTATTTAAGTTAAAAAATAAAAAAGTTATTAAAGTTCAAAGTTAATGATATCAATATTTTTGCGATACGAAATTAAATTATGTTTGTAGTGTATACACACACACATACATACATACATATAGGTGTGTTCCCCTTTCCTCCTAATTATTTGACATATATATATATAGATAAAACTATAGATACTTAACATGATTTATAATTTTTAAAATATATTATCTATAAAATAAATAATATTACTGTCAATATTCATATTATATAATAAGCTTATATACTTAATAAATATATTTTATATTTTAATTAAATTAAATGGAAATTTTTTTTTGTTTTTTTTTTGTTTTGTTTGATCAAATAGTTGTAATACTTTTTTTTGTATTTAGCAATAACTATAACTTATAGTTAGTTATAAATAACATACAGGTATATTAGCAATAAAATAAAAACCATCAAGATAATTTAATTAAAAAAAACTTAAATAATTTATATAGCTGATAAAAAACCTTATAATATATTGCACATCTATTTATTTAAGCTACCCTGGACATATTTTATTTATAGAGAGACTAAACCACTGTATATAATATAATAGCGGGTATTAATAGTACAGTCAATGATTTTTAATCAAATATCAGACTAGACTTATACACCCAATGTGTGTATGAAAATTTAGACACACATACACACACACACACATACACACATACATACATACATACATACATA